CTCCCGAGGGCTTTCTGTTTGCATGTCCCCGCAGCTCCGGCAGCACTTCCCCTTAGTGGTACCCGTCGGGACTAGGAAAGTGTTTATTCTTAGTTCTGTCTTCATGTGGTTCAAGTCATGGAAGAAAGACGAGGAAGATGCCCGCGTCCGACCGGCTTGTCAGGACGCTGAGGCTTACGCTGCAGTTCAGGACCCGGCAGGGAATGATGTCAACCAGCGTGCCTCGGGCGAAATTTATTATCACTTGGGAATCCACTCTGATTTAGACTCACGCTCCAGTTTCTTTTAGTGATTGTCAGCCAGCTGCGGGAGAAATGCAAGTAAACGCTGCGCCCCGCTGCTTTAAACAGTCTGTTCTTGTGGCTCATCTCTATGAACTCAGTTGTAACCACCAGAAACTTCAGAAACCGAGTTGCCTTCTGTGAGTCAATAACGTCAGCACCTGTGCTTTAACCTCTGCGGTATAAAGGCTGACTACTAAGAAGAGGGAGGGGGTACTTGTGCGTGATTCCACTGCAGTACAATTAAAGAGCACATCATCTGGCAAAGGAAGTGTGGTACCTCAACTTCTAATTGAACCTAGTTCGTAAACAATGTGCAGGGCCAGATGTACCAATTAGTGTAAAGAGTTGTGTCAGATCCTGTGTATTATAATTAGCCATGGCACTACAGGCCTGTTTGTGCATTGTTAGAAGGCTTTTATTGAAGAAGTTTCAAATTTCTTCTTTGAAATTTGCTGAAGCTGAGGAAAGCTGCTTTTTTAAATTTGTGTGTAGGAAGGAATTGAGTCAACCATGGTTTGAGAAATGAGTTAGTTTGCTGGTGATGTTAGTGCAAAGCACATTTATTCTTGGTGCTCATGGAATTTGAGGGAAAGGGGAGTCTCCCCGTTCTCCACTTGAAGACCCATGCAAGGGGCTCCAGGGAGAAATAGAGATGAAATGTCTACCTTTCCAAAAGCCCTAATATCTGCCATGTAAATCACTTCATTAAGTGTATTTGTGAAGGCTTGAATGTGTACTTCTTTAAAAAAAAAAAAGGTGACACTTGTCAACTACATACTTATTGTAGTGACTTTCACAGAATATCAAACTTATTTAAAAAAAAAAAAAATTTCAAGTGGACATTTTTTCAATAACCTCATCTTTCTTTTTAGGTTTCTCAGTAGAAGTTTGTGAAACCAAACTTGTTACAAAAATGCAAAATGTCATCACCTGAAAATTAAGTGTCTCTACAGCTGTAGATCTGTGAAAAATGAACTTGAAAATACACATCACAATCATCCTCAAGTATCTAAAAATTCAGTCATATTCTTACAAATAAATTGGCTTTAGGAAAAACCCTTTTGTTCAAGTTGTTTGTCAGCTTGATTTTTCTCGTTACCTGTAATCTGCTTTGCATCTTGTTCCACATTAGAACATCTTAAATATATATGCAAAAAAGGCATCTGCATTTTATTTGCTCTTCAGGAGTTCATTTTCTGTACTGGGGGCTGGGAAAACTGCTCCATCACCTACCTTAGCCACAACAGACACTTCTGCAGTCACAGCTTCACGAGTGGAAGGGGTTGGAAGGGACCTCCAGAGAGCATCTAGTCCAACCCCCTGCCAGAGCAGCATCCCCTAGAGTAGATCACACAGGAACAGTTCCAGGCAGCTTTGGAAGGTCTCCAGGGAAGGAGACTCCACCACCTCTCTGGGCAGCCTGTTCAGGGCTCTGTCACCCTCACAGTGAAGAAGGGTTTCCTCATGGTCAGGTTGAACCTTCTGTTTTCCCATTTATGGACACTGCCCCTCGTCTGGGGGCAGTCAGTCCCTACCTGATTTGTGGCTTTTGCCTGGCCCTCGGCCTGGCAATGAGGAAGTTGCCATCTTCCCTGACAGCTGCCTGCCTTCAGCCACTTTGTAAAGGTTTGGAAGGTTGGAAGCCACCTTGGTTTTCACTTCCTGTTTCTTACATGGTCATTTTTATGACCAGTTCAGGGAGCTGCTTATAGATCTGCTTATCAAGCTGAACAAGCAAATATTCACGCTGAGGATTTTGACAGGCATTTGAAAATTGCATTTAGGATAAAATTATTAGTTAGTGTGCATAGTAAGGCTGAAATTCAAACCTGAATGGTCTCCAGATCAGCAGCAGACAGCTTCCATCAAATAGATGTGAAGATGAATAAAGCCTCACTTAAAACCAAAATACCTGTGAGAAGTATTTTATATTGGGCTTGCAGAATCAGTGTGGACAAGGACTACCTGTAGGTAGCAATTACTCTTCTTTAAAAGGTAGAGGTTCCCTGGAGCTAGCTATTTTCATGGGATAGTTTGTACCAAACATCCTTAGGTTTGTTGTTAGATAGATGGAAAAGTCAGCATCCTAAAAAATTGTTGTCTGAAGATCTGTTTGATATGTTAAAGAACTGTATATTCTTGGGCTGAATCTCTGTTACTTGGGCATACTGTACATGTGTTACTTGCTAGATATTGCTCACATGCAGTCTCTTCTACAGTGAAAGTGTTTAAACTATTAAAAGGGGTTTTGATTGTTTTATGGTCTCTATTCATATCTCACTAGTTTGTTAGGAGAAAGTATTCTTTACATGGCTTGTTAACAATTAACATGTAAAACTACCTGGACAAAATTTGATATTTGACAGAAATATTCATCAAAGTGCATGTTGCATTGACATTCATGGCAATGGAATGCGTAAGGGTATGAATTGAGTCACTTCATTCCTACACAATCCATAATTTTAGAACTCTGTAGCTAGCGAGAAAGATGTAAAATGTATGCAATTATTTTGAACTCTACACCAAGATTAGTATTTGCAATAGCAGATTTTTGTATTGAGTCTGTGCACTGGTTAAGAAGGGATTCTTTAAAATCTTTGTCTACCTGTTCCATTGATTTTTAAGCAGTGATCGTATTTAGAAATGTCACTGGCCTCTTAATATTTCGCATCTATTCAGTTTTCTGCTCAGGGTCTTATAACTCAGTAAAAGCAGTTCACATTTTAAAAAAAAAGGACGTAAGAATGGGGACATTTTTCTCTAAGAATCCATTTCTACACCTCTGAAACAAGCAAATCTCCCGTGTAATTTTAATTTGGAAAATTATTCTGCCAACTATTGTCATTCTTTTTTGTAACCTGAGGAAGAAGAGAGTTGTTCTTGTGGAAGATGACGTTTGTTTTGGGAATTCATCCTAATGCACTGGCATATTCCATGACGACGTTAGGTGCTGGAATGATGAACAGTATCTTTAATTTCTACTACGTAAAGGTTTTCCTAAACCGATACAAAATTTCAGAAGTAGCATTTCATCAAGCCCAGGTATTGTACGATTGACTATTTTGATTATCATCTTGTGCTATGTTTCTGTGTTATCATAACCAAGCCTTTTTCTTTACTTACAAATTAATTTTGAATGCATTGCAAATAGTTATGCAATAAATTAATTTTAAATTTAGTTAATCCATAAGCACTTGAAGGTACACAATAAGGCACATTGTTTACACTTTTTAGACTAAAAATCTCCAGAATTTAATTGCTGGAAACATTTTTTACCTTTGACAGCCTAAAGTAATGTTCTAAACCAATCTTGCAGCTCTGCTCCATAGATACATTTGGCATTAGTGCTTTCCTATGGACTGTTTACGTTCTTGAACACGGCCCTTATTCTGAAGTCATTATGCACATGAGCAACTCTGGTCCTAAATGGTCTCCTGAAAGTAATGGGCCAGCTCATGTTTTGAATTACTTGCTGTGGGGCTAATATCTGGGCTTTGCAAGATGAAAGCCCATATATATAAGCTTTTGGAGTGGTCTTAATAGGCAGGGTTTTATTTCATGTGTAGTTGGGCACCTGTCTACTTACTCATCCTGTTTTTCAAAATTACTATAAACTTGTCACTAGCTTTTAAGAATTTGGTCTGGAATCTGGAAAGCCCAGATATATAAGCTTTTGCATCCTGTTAGGATGCATCCTGCATCCTATATAAGCATCCTGTTTTTCAAAATTACTATAAACTTGTCACTAGCTTTTAAGAATTTGGTCTGGAATCTGTTTTGACCTGATAAGCTTTCATCTTTCTTTATTCTTTGAATAGCGATTTATTTTAAATCTATGTGGTGTGTATTACTTCTGTGTTTGTATAACCTCTACAGAAAAATCAAGCTAATGATAAATTCTGTTGTGTTTCTTACTTGTTTGTGGCAGGTTGTATTCATGATATGGAATGCCATTAATGATCCTCTTTTTGGGTATATTCAAGATAACTCCAAATTCGCATGCTGCTCAAGACGTCAGTTTTCAATTTTATACGGAGCTCCTTTATATGCATTAGCCTTTTTGCTTCCTTGGTTTCCTTGGAAACATTATGAAGAAGGTGACTGGCTAAGTGGTCTTCACCTCATTGTTGCGTTATGTGCTTTTGATGGTTTGCTTACATTTGTGCTTCTAGCGCAGTGTGCGCTCTTCACAGAAATTTCAACGAGACATGAAAGTCGGCTTCAGCTTATTAAATATAATCAAGTAGCAACACTAATTGGATCTACAAGCATTCTCTTTTGTGGCCTTGTATCAGATAACATGGAAAATTTTGCCTGTTTTCAGGCTTTTGCTGTTTTGGTTGCAGCACTAGCAGCAGCTTGCATGTGTTACACAGGCAAATACAGTACTAGTCAGTATGAACAGAGAGAAGTTTGTACAGCAAATACTGATCTGGAAAACAGTGATGAAACTCTCTCCTGGTCCTCTGTAATTTCATTGACCAAACAGATAATGACAGAGAAAAACTTTCTTTTTTTCGTGATGATGAACTTCTTCCAAGTCTTCCACCTAGCCTTCTGCAACAATTTTATGATGATCTTTGCGGATAATCTTATTCCTAAGGATGTCCTTTCCTCCTCAGTAAGAAGTATCATGTATGGAGCAGGCTTTATCTGTCCTCAGGTAGGCTGTTACACTTCTTTTTTTTTTTCCCCAAAGTATGAAAAGATGGCATTTTACTAGTTTTCATTAGTTTAAGGTACCTATTTACACTATTTGTTGAAAGTACCTCTATGTACAGACTACCCAAATGTAAGGGTAGGGTAGGGAGAACGGACAAGCAGGCACGCTGGTAGAGTATCTGTTTACCAGTGTGAGATGTGAGTATGCAAGGGGTGAATGTTTTGCATCCTACACAGTTTAAAATAACTAAGTATAAAGGAATGAAAAACATGGTCAAGATAAAAGTTTCTAGAAGCAAAATCTACAAATGCTGAATTCTTTTCTCTTTGGTTTTGTTTTGTAATACAAGATTATACAATAATCTTTTCTTTGGGAATATTCTGAGATAAACTGCACAAAACACCAGAAAAATCATTAGGTATTAAAAGTATTGTTGAAATATGTGGCATCTCAATCATAGGAACCAAACAAAACCCTAAATAGCTGCTTTTTGGAGAATAGCACATGCTCGTTTATTATTTTGTTTGCTGTCTTGGTCAGCTACATTTAGTGGGTAGAGAGATACCTTCAAGACCCCAGTCAGGGATGGGGAGAGGAATAATGAACTGGAAAAGAGAAAAGAGAACCCAAACAAATAATGTGCGAGAACAAGAAAAGCTGCAAAAATATGTCCCACAGAGTGTAAATGTACTTGCTGTAGTGAATGTCATTCCCTTCTGGCTTTTTTCACTGGATCTTTTAAAAATTTTCACGGTGTTTACTTGCTGGATTGCTGAGTATCCTTGACTTTCAGCATAGATGCTGGGATGTTCAGAATTTCTGAAAACCAGGCTGTCATGTTTATTAAACTGTAATGGTAAAATCTAAAAAGAAGATGCATGTAAGTGCAGCTGGAATTCACAGCTCAGTTTCAGTTACCATTTTGGCTTTTGCATATATAATAAACAAATCCTAAATATACCTAAATATCTATCATTTTAACTTTAATTCTTACCACAGGTTTAATTTTTTTTCTGTAACTCGAACAGTTAGCTGATAAACTATGGAAATAAACCAGAAACTATAAAAGTTAGGAAAACTTAAATAATTTTACTTTCAATGTATAGCACTCAAAATCTGCATGACAGTGTGAAACGAACAATCTTTCAGAAAATGCATCTCTCTGCTCCCCAGGGACTCTTTGTCTGGAAAGTCACTGAACCATAGAGGGTTTGTCATGACCTTATTTTTCTCAGGTTTTGTCCCTTTGACCTCAAGATACAATCAGAGAATTCTCTGGTGGCAATGTCCTCAACTTCACTTACTGGAAAACCCATGTAAAATAAATCCCCTTCTTATGAACTGGGCTTCAGTGACCTGTACTGGACTAGAATTCAGTTTCTGTCTTAGGTTCCTTTTAGTAGTCAGTATGAAGAATAAAACCTGCCTACAAGTGAAACCTTGTTGCTGAAACATAGGCAAACAAAATCAAATTTGCATCATTAAGTTAGTATTTTTTTTAAGAAGTATGTAATCTTAGAAACATGCAAGTAATAAGGAATTTTTTAAATCGTAAGTACTTCCTGGGACAGGGTTTCTTCTCAAGTACGGAGAGACCCCAGCTCATGGTTTTTACAATAACATGCATTACATAATGCCTTACCATTTCCAGCGTAAGCCTTTTTCTGCAAAATGCCTGAAACCAGCCAGGGCATGGAGTATGTTTAAGTTTCTTACAACCTGAGTTTTGTTCTTACACCAACTTTCCAGATTTGTTTTACCTCCCTGATCATTGATTTAAGTAGAAAACTTAAGGTTCTTTAAAATAGTATTTGCCACCGTAATCTTTGTCTGACTGTAGCATCCTGTTTTTAATCATTATGTTAAAGCATTTAAATGTGGGAACAAATGTATAAGGAGAATTCTTTCCTCTTCTTCATCTGAATATTAAACTGCTCATCTCTGTAACACAGAAAGAAGGAGAAAATATGCACGTATAGAGGTTGTGAGTACTTTTTGTGACAGTGATGAGGACCCAGGTACTTGTAGACGGTGACATAGGCTCATATAATAAAAAGAACGTCATGCATTACAAAATGTCCTATTTCAAGTGGAAAGCGAGGAACAATATAGAAGAGCTTACACTTTGTTCATGCTATAATCAGCACTTAATACCATTTTTGTGAGTTTGCCTGTCACTAGCTTCTCACACAGATTACTGCTTGCAAAGACTGGCAGAATGAAAATGCAGCCATACATGTCAACCGGCACCTGTCTTTACTTGATGGTAGTGTCTCTAACTTGCTTAGATCCGCTGTCTTGGTGAGCTTGCTTTATCAACTTAAACTTATGCTTAATGTCTATAAATGTCAGTGAAAATAGTAATATTAATTTCATTGTGTATATGCATATGTTATCTTTCCAGTGCCTTGTTCTTCTTTGTCATGCTTCGCTGAAGAAACTTGGTTATTACAGAATCATCCTGTTTTCCTTTTACTTTGAAGGAGTATCTGCTGCTGTCATGTTTGTTCTAGGGCCAGAACACTATTATCTGTTGGCATTTTATCTCACAACAAACATGTAAGTAGATACACTTCCCTCTTCATAGGCATGGTTTACATAATTCTAAGAGTGGACACTTCTTTTTAACAGCATGAAGATTTTGCCACTGCTTTTATGTTGCTTTTTTTTCTGTCTTGTTTCACTTCTCAGAAAAGTTGAAACTCCAGTTTGCAACTTTTTTTCAGCTTTCATTTTATTCTGCTTCAGCTTTTAATTTCTGCTTAAAAAAAAACCCTTAAAAATGAACAGTAAGGTTTGCAACCACGTACCTGCTTTAACATGACATTGAAGGAGTCAGAACCTCTTCTCATTCACATGGGCACAGAAGATCTCACAGGAGCTCTGCAGAGTCTGTCTGATAGGAAAGCTCAGACCTCATTTTGCATGAACACGTGTGTTGCACGGCAGAACAAACACGGGTACATAAGGTGTCTGTTAGGTCACCAGTGCTGTGACACATTTTCACTGGTACTGGCTAAGTATAATGCCAAAAAGTACTATTTCCACAGAAGTACATTATGATACATGGAAAACCTTATTTAAAAATAAAGACCTGTTTGTGTCAGAATATTGTTGCAGCAGTTTAGTTTTATTTCTTCATTTTCTATTTCATTGCTTGCTTTCTGCAAGTTCTTTCCTGCCCTCCTTTTCTTCATCTTCTTCCCGCCCCCTCCCCCATTTTCCTTCTTATTTTCAGTATTTCAGTCGCGGGCCACTGTAACACTGCATTGTGTGAACAATCAATGGAATTTCATTACCTGCATACTTTAAATGATGAAGATATATTTTGATTTCCCCAGGAAAAAAATTCTAAGGTACCTAAAGACTGTATGTTTAAAGTGCTAATCGTTCAAAGTCTCTTATAAGTAGAAGCTAATCACCTCCCAAATTTAATATGACATAGAAATTGTAGTATTTGAGTTTATGGTTTCACATAGGAGTTTGCTAAGAGTCAGTTTTCTGTGTGTGTTTAAATGCATATAAATAATATATATAATGTAAATACATATATGCATATGCATATGATTTTTTTTTACTATTCTAATTCTTCCACTTCAGAGTTTGTCTTCTACGTGGTCTTTCCAGTAATGCTCATGTCCTTTTCAGATTTCCAGAGGAAATTTTCAGTTTCTCTTTCTTCTAAGGTGTTTCTTTTCTCCATGTCATTTAAAATATGACATTCACTGGTAATTTCAAGCAAGTATATAAGACCTTTTGCATCAGTGTCCAGGAAAAAAAGGCAAAAACGCCCATCTTTTAGGTGTGCATAGTGATTTCTAATTCTCTGTCAAGAACAGATCTTATCATGCTTTTAGAGCTGCTGTTTAAACAGATAAATCACCATGTTTTAAAGAATGTATCAACTTTGTTTGTGGAAATGTCAGTGTTGGGGTGTATGCATTAGAATGTCAGTTATGATTTCATTATGAAAGTGTATGTAAGAACTATGAACATCTTAAATATTTTGTCTTTCTTTAGGGTAATTGTACAAGCTTCATTTAGTTTGTTCAATTTGCCTTTGGCAGACATTGTTGATGCTGATTTAATAAAGCACAAGCGGAGGTACGTCAGTCAACTTTCTTTATTCTTTAAATTTGCCATGTTATCTCTTAGCTAAGTTAGATTCTGTCAGAGTAAAGACAATAAATGATCTTGGATCCTTGACACACAGCTAGTTTTTGTAAGAGCAACTTAGCATGAGATAAGAACTTGGGTAAAGTTTCCTTTGGTTACTTCAGCAGAATAATTTAAACATAATGTTAGGTAATTCCTATTGTAATTATACTATAGTATAAGCCAAATCCTCAGGTTTTTGTGTGCTTTTGTTAGCTTCAGTTGAATTATTTTGTAAGCATATACATCTGTTGTCACTGAGGGGATTTCTGAATAGGCCTTTCTAACATGGAAAAAGCATTTAGAAAGCTTTGCCTGTGCTACTTAAAGTGCAAATTTCAAAGTCCAACTGGTTGCTGTTATCTCTCTAAAATAAAAAACTGATAAAACCTGCTGTGATGTAGCATATCAAAACTCATGGATCTTTTGGATTTTTATCAAACTGCAAATAACTTCCTGTTGGCTCCCTCAATGTTTATATAGTGCAGATTCAATCCTGGTCACTGTATTAAAGGACTTGGTCCTGAAAGATAAGAGCTGTTGCTTTCATGCAGAAAAAAAATGTCTTCTTTTCTGACCTCATGCATGTAAAGTTTTATGTTGTAATTAATTTTCCATGCACCGTTCAGTCTAACTTAACAATTACTCAGTATGCACAAAGCTGAAGTTCAGTGCAAGTCATTTCAGAATTGGGACCAAGCTGTATGTATACCCCAGAGGTTTATTTCCTGTCGTTTCCAAAGAAAATTAAATTTCATTATGATAGCTGGTCTGTTTGCTATAATGTGTGGACTGTAAAGCTAAGAGTCATGATAGTTACCATTTGCATATTAACAGGATTTTTAAAATTACTATTCTGATTCCTATACTGGTAAGTTTGTGTGGTGCATTTGTTTGTTTTTTCCCCCTAAATATTTTAGATCACCACTTTCCTCTATGGTCTTTGGTACCAATGCTTTATTTACCAAGCCTGCCCAATCTTTGGCTCCAATGCTTGTGGTTACAATACTAAAACAATTTGGATATGAGAACCTGAATAATGAAGTTGCTCAACCTGATCCAAGGTGAGTTCAAAAGGGATACTTTAAATCATAGAAATTAACATGAAATAATCCTGTCATGTAAAAAGGAAATTAATCTGCAATTAGTTTGCATAAACTGTGCTTCAAAAATATGAGTTCTTTAAAAATATTTTCCAGTTGTTTTTTATCTGCATAGTAATAGAAATGTTTTCTAGATTTATTTAAGAAAAAATAATTTATTAATCATTACACATGAAGATATCTACCTAATTTTGAAAAACAAAGGATACATTTTAGTAGTTTACCATCTCCTGTTTTTGTTTTTTTGAAAAAAAAAAGTTTGAGATCACCTAATGCCTCTTATTAAGATACATGATGCCCTGGCTTCTGTGTTTTATCTTGTAAGCCTACTTCCTTAAATATATAATCTTAATAGGGTTGCATTAAAGATACATTTTTGCTTGAGAGAAAGCAGTCTAATCATTGGAAGGAGGGAATTTGCCTCAAGTAGTATAATTTTGGCTTCGATACTACTTACCATTCTGATGCTAATGATTTCATTGAAGTCCCTGGGGACCTTAATACAGCGTAAAGCTGTGGTTGCTAGTTGGAAGTGCATGGGCTTTCTAAAAACAAATTAACAGGGAGTCAGTACACTGCAAGGGTCATTGACTGTTTATTCATGACCAACAGGAGGAAGTGGCAACATAAGGAATAACTGTAGTCAGGACCAAAAAGGCAAAAATCAGTCCTAATTAGGATTTGCTTGAGAGAACAACATGAATATCCTGAAAACTACACAGCTCTCCTATTTTTTAAGATTTCTACTCAAAATTTAGAAGACAGTTGTGTATGGACTTTTGTGGAGCTTGCTCTTGAAGGAGAAATGACTGATTATGTGTCACCTAAGGCTAGGAGAATGTTTCATAGTTGAGGAATTTTCTAAAAAAATGTATGAGGCAAAGCATGACATAAAAGCACAACAGGTGGTCTTCAGAAAAGGATTCTGACACAAGCAAAGAAGGGTTAAGTTTGAGGCTACGTATGAGAAGAGTTAATTTTCTTTTAATGCATTCTGTAGATAGCCGGTGAGATGATGTGAAGAGGACATGAACCTCATTATACTGTCAAAATAAGATGAGTGATTTTTTCAGAAGAGTGGTAGGTTGAACTGGATGTGGATATGAGAGGGATGAATGTATTCATCTTGATGATTCAGAGAAACTTCATGTAACTGATATTTGAAACATAAAAACTACAGTTCTGATCCCTTTCAATCAGTGTAATTATTCCTTTGTGGATGGATTTTAAATCACAATAGTTATAAATCTTTTCTTCCCCCAGTAAGTAGCCTCTGGACTATAGCAACAATAAATTTCTTGTATATAGAGTTGAAATACTTCAAATGCTCAATCTCTAAAACCTATCTGTTAACTTGAGTCATGCTGAAATTTGATTTATTTAACTAAGGCAAGGAACAGCATAAAGGTACAAAGCTGAGATCAGTTAATCAAAGAGCACCTGAAATATACTATATATTTCTCTTTCTCATCCCTTCAAAGCTGATTTCTTAAATACGAAGCAGTCTGCATGTGTTTTCTCTATATGTATGTGTAAATGTGCATGTCGCTTGCTTTGCAAATGGACTACAGTGTGGACATAGAGGCTACAAAGACCAGGCTGCTCAAGATTATTCCTAGGGAGTCAGTTTGCCCATGGTAATGTTCTCAGACCATTGACTGAGCTAAAATTACTTAAACATATTAAACCCTATCAAGTGATCTCAGATGTCAGCCATAGGCAGACAACTAAAATACACTTGCCTCAGGAAAAAGTATTTTCATAGCATCACAGAATGGTTTGGGTGGGAAGGGACCTAAAAGATCATCCAGTTCCAACCTCCCTGCCATGGGCAGGGACACCTTCCACTAGGCCAAGTTGCTCCAAGCCCCATCCAGCCTGGCCTGGGACACTTCCAGGGATGGGGCATCCACAGCTTCTCTGGGCAACCTGTGCCAGTGCTCCCCGCCCTCTCCGGGAAGAACTTCTTCCTGAGATCCAATCTAAACCTCCCCATTTCAATTTAAACCCATTACCCCTTGTCCTGTCACTACAGGCCCTTGTAAAAAGTCCCCCCCAGCTTCCTTGTAACCCCTTCAGGTACTGGAAGGTGCTATAAGGTTTCCCTGGAGCCTTCTCTTCTCCAGGCTGAACAAGCTCAACTCTCCCAGCCTGTCCCCATGGCAGAGGGGCTTCAGCCCTCAGACCATCTTCGTGGCCTCCTCTAGACTTGCTCTAACAGGTCCATGTCCTTTTTATTTTGGGGGCCCCGGTGCTGCACCCAGTACTGCAGATGGGGTCCTATGGGAGTGGAGTAGAGGGGGAGGATCCCCTCCCTCGATCTGCTGGCCACACTTCTCTGGATACAGCCCAGGATACAGTTGGCTTTCTGGGCTGCCAGCACACA